TTGCTCATCGATGCTCTTCAGCCTCAAAGTCGCGTGGGAGCAGCAATATCTGCTTTGGCAACGGCATCTGCTGCCTGCAGGTAGAGCCTTGGCCCGCAGCACACGGGTTACCGCAGTCCGCAGCCTCCGCTTGCCTTCGCTGCAGCTGCGGTGATGGACAGCTCTGTTCTGACAGAGCAATTGTGCATCTGAATTATTTATGGTGTGTGTGGTGTTCTTTCTTTCACTGTGAGGCACTTAAAGCAGACTGGGTTTTTTACTCTGTTTTTTTCCCCCTCTGTTTAATCCTTCAGAGGAAAGCATGTAAGATGGAAAGTAAAAGACAACGATAGTATATGTGTCATTTGGAAATCAGCATGAGGGGAAAAATTAGGAAATTTGTTTGTCATGAATGCACTTTATCTGAGAATACAAGTTCCAGTGGGTTTTTTTCACGACTGTTTAAAACCTTAGGTTCATTATTAGAAATGGCTTGGTCTGAAACCTCTCTGATTTACCACCAAGGCCATGCTCTGGGAAGCACGTTAGGGATATGGAATCTGTCCCTGTTCACAGCATCCTTACACAGTGGTTTCCATTCGCATTCATACCTGTGGGTTTGAACTTCTGGCTGGGCGCAGTCTGCTGAACGTGGGCTGGGGACTTTATTCTGTCCCACCAAGGCAGAAGCAGCTTTTCTACAGACTTGTGTAGTAACAGCAGCTTTGCTGCTGGCATGAGCGGATGCGAAATCACCCTCCTATCCTCCGCACGGCCGCAGACAACTGCAGCTGTGGAGGTCCAGCAGTTAGCTCTTGGGTCGTACATTATTTCCTGCTTCTTTGGTTATTTAGTTTTTAATCCCATATTATCGTATTTGATATTATCCTGGCCATCTCAAAACACTATTATCATATTATCCCATATTATTTTAATCCCATATATCTCTCAGGAGCTTGAGAGGTTTAGTTGCTGTCATTGCCTGCATTGTGGATCCAGTCTGGGTGTTTGGCTTTGATCTTGATGACGACAGTGAATGCCACCAAATGCAACCTGATGTAAAGTATTTTCACAAGCTTTAATGTTTTCTGTTTGCTGTTCTCAGGTGGGAAAATCCTTTATTTATTTTCACAGCAGAAAGAGAGTTTCCCCTTGTTTGAAGCAGCAGCTTTTACACCCTTTCCTCCTTAGCCAGGATACTGAAATTGCAGTTGGGTGGTAAGGATGTTTTTTCATTCAGAAACAGAGCAAGATTTGGCAATTAATTTCCAAGAGGGCCACGAGAAGGTCACTAGGTATTCTCAGACAGCCCTTGATCTCGATTTCTTTGGCAATCCATGACAGACAATCTCTGTGGCCCCCTGTCCTCTGGCAAGCTTGGTTTTGAAATCCTTTGTTCTGCATAGAGAGTTCTTCTCCATCCCTTGGCAAGCAAAGGAGGAGGCTGCCAGCCAGCTGCAAGACCGACGCGTACATTTTCAATTTTCATAATTGAGCCTTTTGAGAAAAACCCATAGGAGTAAAACGATTTCAGAAGCTGTGGTTCTACAAACCTGACCGTAGGGAGCCTCTTGAACAGGAGGTGTGGGAGCAGGGAGGGAGTGACCACTCCTTGGTGCTGGGTACCCACGCTCGCTCCGTGTCACGGAGCTCCATCTCAGAGGTGCTTGGAAGGACTTGGACTTAACAAGTGGCCCCTGATTTCCTCCGCTCTGATAATTGCAAGTTCAGCATTGCAGCACAGATACAGGCCCTGAGGTGCCTAAAACCACATTTTCCTCTAAACCCTGGAAGTTTTGAAGACTAAAAATTTGCTTGGGTAAGTAAGCACATATATCAGGTAAAGCCTAAGAAGGACCCTAACTGGAGTCGAATCAGGCACACAGAAGTATTTGGTGCAAGATGCAGCACAAGTCATTCCTTCTGTCAGCTGGTGCAGCGAAGCCAGTGCTTCAGCGATCGCAGTTTGCTGCAGAATTGCTCAGCAGCAAATTGTAAGGTCTTCCAGAGCAGACATTTGCTCCAAATAGTATCCCTGAGGTGCCTCCCCTTCCAGCCTTACCCCTTGGGTGCTGCTGCTGCCCTGCGCCTTGCTGAGAGCAAAGCATAAAGTCCTGGAGAGAGAAAACAGCTTTTTCCTATCATTGTACAGAAAGCACCTGGGGCAGCAAACATCAGGCCAGTGCCAGGTCATGGTGGTCTCCCCTTTTAAATGGAACTAGAGCGGAAAAAGTCTGATTAGGCTCAGATCAGCCAGAGCGAAAGCAACTTTCTATGGTGCCAGCCTGTAATCACCACAGGGCTGCTTATAGGAACTCACTAATCTGGATTGATCAGTGTGGTGACATTCATCTGCTGGCTCATTTCAGCATGGTCTTGAACTTCAATCCAGCCTCTGCCTGTCACGGTAATTGTCTTTTATCGCTCTCGCAGATTGCTTTTCCCTGGAGCAAAGTCCTGGGATTTTTTCATTACCAGAGCAGGGAAACAAGGCTCAGCGACAGGGAGTGGCACCGTCTTCACTGATTTTTGCTTTTTTTTTAAATTTAGTTCAAAAGAAAGGCTTACTAGTGAACAGTCCCAGCTGAGAACCTGGACAAAACTCATCACTACAGCATCTGTGGCCTCCCCGCAGCCCACGGAGCAGCATGATGACAGCCCTGCCGTGTTGGTCCACACTGACCCGCGCCTTGTTCAGGCTGCTGGCCCAGTCTGGCTTCCTTGTAATAGCTGCATTATAACAGTGTGCTCCAAACCAAGGCAAACGCCTATTTTCTAGTGTTTAGAATTCTGATATGCTCCATGATTTAAAATTTATTCTTTGGTTTAAAAAGAAAAAAAAGAAAAAGAGGAGCAAAGTAGCTAGCAACAGTCTTGCTAGGCAGCTTCCTTCTGCCTTGCTCTCCATCTGAAGCCCTGGGAACGGCTCGAGCATTTACTCTCAGTCTCTCTGGGCTTCCTGGCCTTGCACGCCCCTTAATATTCCTTTCTATGCCTGGCGTGTGCATTTCATCAGCTTTTAGAGATCACCAGGGAACGTGTGTGTAGGACAATGGACAAAGGTAAAAGGATGAAATCCGAGTAAGGGTTTCATGTTGGTGTATCTTCATAAATTCTTTTGGGGAGTTTAGTATCAGCTGGCAGCCCAGATGAACGATGGGCCATCATGTACGCTCTTATGTCTTTCAGATTTGGTAAAAGGGTTGACCTCAGGGGACCCTCTTGCCTCCCCATTAAAAAAGAAGCAAAATAATATTTTTTTTTTCCAAAGTCATTGATACTGTGAAGCAAATATGTGTTTGGGGGCGCATGTGTCTGTAAAGTTTCACCCAGCAGCCTCAGCTGCAGGTGCCTGGTCTGCACGGGCAGGCGGTGGATTTGGGTTCTCGCACACCCATTGTAAGTGTGGCCCTGATCACTGGGGGTGGCACGGATAACCCAGCACCTTTGCAGCTACACAGGCCGTTGTATTCCAGATGTCAGACCAGCCTGCACAGCTGTGACAAGCACAGCATAAATTTGTGCCTTCTCTAATCTCTGTGTGCTCATCCCTTGTAATTCCTGCTAAATAATCACAATTCTGTGGCTGCCAGGTTGTATCAAGAACCAAAGATCCTGGGAAATCCTGCTGCTTTCAAATACATAAAGCTAATTTTTGAGTTGGAGGCAAATGCAATTCGTGTTGCTTCAGCCACGCTTGGCATACATTCCCGAGCCTAGCAGTGCAGCGTGACTCCCTAGGGATCACCGGAGCGCTTGGAAAACCAGCTAGAGGAGGTCCTAGCAGGCTGAGCACTTACAGAGATGTGTGCCTTGGAAGAGGAATATGTATTGTGTCCATTCGAGTTTTATACCAATTGCAGTACATGAGAAAAACCACAAACCACCTGCGCATCCCTTTGCCCATGGGCAGGCTTTGAAATAAGACCAGAAGGATATTGAACACATTTAGAAATGTGAAGCCGTTACTCCTCCCATATGGTTTATTGAGGATCTCAGTTTTCCAAGCATGAGTAGCAGTGAGGCCCATTATTCTTTCCAACATGCAAAAGGCACAAGAAAGTTGTCAATGTGATTCTGTGCAAAGTGGCTCTAAGAAAACACACAGCAAGGAAATGACAGAAAAGAGCCCCCAATGGAAGAGAAAGCCAAAGTGCCTTCAGGAGAGTGCCGAAAAGTTCTGAAAATGGTCGTACTTTTTCAGAGTCCAGATATGCTCAGTTGGTGAAAGACGCTTTGCAAATCCGTGAAAGAAAACTCAAGAGACAGAGCCAAAAGGCTTAAAACAATAATCTCCTTCATGTGCCAAAGTTCAGGATGGAAGTCAAAAAGATTTATCTCAGGAAAAAAGTGCGGCAGTGACAGACAGACATTAAATTCTTTAAAAAAAAGCCCACCGAAACCAGAAGTAGAAAGTGGATACATTCTAAGAGCAGCTCAATAAAAAATATTCCTTTTAATGAAAATAAGTTAAAAAATGGATACTTGAAGAACGCAAATCCACCTTGCCTGTGACCAGCTACTGCATCCCTGCTCCCACGAAAGCCTCCGAGCATGACAGCACAACGCCTTCTGGGAGAAGAAAGTCCTCGCTACCTGTGTGTGGGAGATGTGGCCAGTGAACAATTTGGGAACACAAATGTACAGGACCGAGTATCTGAGTCCCATTACTGAACTTGGGTGTCAGGAAGCTTCCCAGGGTTTCTGTCTCTCCCACTGGAGCCAGCCGGTGCCGGAGGCAGCAGTGCTTCCCAGTGGGCATGGCTGAGCCCGTGAACCCCTGAGCCTCTCGCTGGAGTTGAGTACTTAAACCTAAAAAAGGCATTTACAAGTTGACGCTTTTTTGTTGTTGTTGTTGTCTTATTTCCTTGCAGTATACGTTTCTACTTCTAGACTATGGAATGTTACATTAAACAATATAATTATTCATTACCTTGCTTCAAATTTCATTACAGTTACTGAGGCTTCATCATAATTTCACACAGCACAGAGACACCAAACTAAACACCAAGCAGCCAGCACTAGATGTATTTTTTCTTTAGGTACCAATAAGCAAAATATCCCATTCCCCCCAGAGATCCCATCAGGAACGAGGCTCCGAAGAAGGAGGGAGGTTTCCGCTTGACCAGCCTGAAGGCGTTGGGTACCACTGCGGAGAGGAGCGTGGTATGTATATCTCCCAAAACTTTCCGGAAGGCAAAGCGTTTTTGTATCCTGTCGAAGAAGGACTGTAGGTTAGGTCTGCTGCCATCTTCCCAGTATTTCTTAGAGAGTCCCAGAAACTTGAGGCGGTGCAGGGTAGCTCCTAACAAGACATCGGCCAAAGTAAAGACGCATCCACAGAGCCAAAGTTCACACTTCTGCCCTGGAGAGAGAAGCGACAGAGCAGGCAGGGTAAGAAGAAACCCTTGGGTGAGCACCCAAAGGCTTGCTCCAAAGATCCACGGAGGCAGGAGCATCAGCATTAGACCTGGGGTGTCTTTTCTCAGCTCTCCAGTATCCTAAGAGGTCAGACCCCAGTTACCAGGCTACGTGATGGAAGATGTGTGGGGCCACAAAGGTGGGAATATGAGATGATCATTTATAGCCCAGGTGAAGATACAAATCGCTGTCTGCAAAAAGGCTCTGCTGCCTCTCTCCCAAGCCAAGAGGAGCAGGAGGTGGCATCCTCCCATACCCAGGAGGTCCCTGGAAAGGGGCCCTTGGCCCCCCATGAAAGAACATGCAGTGCAGTGACCCCTTCTGCTGTGTTAGTGCTCAGGGAGAGCAGCATCGCTTGTCCTTGGCTGTACCGGGAGCTGTTTCAGGAGTGTCATGTTAACTTGTCCTATTTTAGGGATGTAAGAAATCCTCAGGAATCAAAACCATTTGCTGGCCTGGCCTGGCTGCTCTCGCTGTGTGCTGTCGGGGATGTCCTGCCTCTGTCCCCGCTCCTGCAGCAGGGACCCAGCTCTGGGACACCAGAACACCCGTGCCAAGAACAAGAGTTTTGGGAGAGGCAGAGTATGGTGCGAACGCTGGGCATGAGGAGAGGCACCAAAGCATTGGCAGCCCCTGATAAGTGGTGACCCTGTAAATAACCTCCCCAGAGAGATGCCCAGGAATAAACCAAGCTGCTGTTAGGCTGGAAGAAGCGGGCTTAGACCAGGGTAGTGTTAAACACTGCCCCGATGCTGTTTCAATGCTAAGGAGCAGGGCTGGGATGGAGCTAAGGTGGATGGAGTGAGGTGCAATTAAGGAAGAACAGCAGAAGGGGCACAAAACCTGGCCCCATCCAGCCTGAGCCCCCGGCTTTGCACCAAATCCTTAATTTAGGGGCTTTTCCACTGTCCTGTGACTGTCACATCCAGGAGGGAGAGCGGCACCTTTATTGCATGCCTGGGTGCTGGTGCTGCTGGGCTGCCTGCAGGGCCAGGCCAGGGGAATTGCTGGTAATTAGCAGCCTCATCTGTAGCCGCTTGGCAGCCTGCCTAATCCTGCTAGAGGCACAGCCCAAGTGGACAGATTGCCTGTGCCTAATTAGTCAATAAATGTTTGCAATGACTAATGAATTGTGGGGGTGCTGGAGCCTCCTGGGTGTTCTGGGGACCCTGAGGGTGCTCTGCCTTGAAGGTGAGGGGAGCAGGGCTGAGGTGCCTGCCTCACTCCTGGGTACACATGAGGATGGTGACTTAGGGAGAGAGCTGTGATCTGGCCCTACCCCTCCTGGCTCTGGGCTTGCACCCACTGCTGAGGTTTGGATCCAGTGGTGGGGTGCTCCTGGGCAGAAGCATGGGCAAGGGCAACTTGCCCCCTTTGTATCCATAGTGGCCCCAGCTTGGATCAGCCTGCCCCAGCCGAGCAGGGTGCCTGTGGCAGGGGCTCACCCTGTGCTCCTGCAGCATCTCCTGCCCCGCGCCTCCATCCCTGCCCTGCCCGCACCGCTGCACACCGGTCCGGCAGCCTGGGCTGCGTGGGAGGAGAGCTGCTGCACTGCGGCTCCTGGGCAGCTGCCAAAGGGCTGGTGCTCGTGTCCCCTGCTGCCATCCTGACCTGGCCGTGGGCACGGCCGCGGGGCTGGGGGCCTGGAGCAGAGGGCATGAGCAGCATGCAAGGACCAAAGGCAGTGGAGCACCTGGGTGCTGGCAGCAGCAGTGGCCACCTCTCTGCTCCAGGCACCCGGGATGTCCTCCAAGGGCACCTCATTAGGCTGAATTCTCTTGAGCTATCCCAGCTCTTGGATCACTTAATGAGGGTGTTCACTGGAGGCAATTAGGGCAATGCAGGGTACTGCTGTGAATGCATCAGGGCTCTCAGCAAATCCCCAACCCGGTGCCTTGCAGGGCCAGACCTTGGCACCTCCGAGGGCCCTTTGCTGCAGCCCCGAGCGTGACGCACGGCTCCCTGCGGCCAAGGCCAGCCCCGAGGGCAGGGGCAGCTGTGGGGCCATCCCCTGATTAACTGTGTCTGGGCTCTGCTCCGGACCTGGCACCGCGGCACTAGCAGTGGGGACAAGAGGGTGACAGCGTCATCCTGGGGTGACGGCGGGACAAGCGATGCCCAGCTGTGCCCATGCATCCCTGTCTGCCAGGGCACGAGGGTGGCTCTCAGCAGGCACCCAGCAGCGTGTATTTGATGTCGGGGATGGCTGGTGTCACACTCCCCCACCTGCTGGCATTTGACGCAGGTCCTGTAAAGGCTTCCACCCCTCCAGGGCCCCTCAAATTCCCATCGGATTTCCCTGCCCATGCTCCGCTGGGATGTGCTGCTGCCCCAAGGCCGGTGGGGGCTTGGCTGCAGGACACGTCCCCAGCCCTGCGCTTTCATCAGTCTGTGCTCCTTGCGGTGCAAGAGCCCGAGGCCAGCCTGCTCCTTCCTGAATCAGCCAGGACATCAGTCACTGGTGGCCCCTTGCTGAGGTGGAGGAGACCTTCCGCCACCCCGCAATGACTTTGGAGCTCCCACAGATCAGCTGTGAGGACAGGGGTCCCACTGCCCCTGTGGCAAGGGGTGCGGGGGGCTCCCCAGAGCAGGGGAGGTTTGCTGGAGGTTAGTAAAACCTGCAATGACATGGGTGCACCCAAAACCAGGAGAACACAGGAGCAGCCCTGGCCCCACTGGTGGTTGCCCCGTGGGGGACGTTCATCAGGTGCAAAGCCATCAGCCATTCCTGGTGTTGTACCTCGGCCTTGTGTGGAAAAACACCCCATAAATGCAGCCCAGCACCTACCTTGGTACTCCAGTTTCCTCTTCTCCAGCTCGGCCTCGATCTGGTCTAGCACCATCCCCAGTTCACCAAGGATCTTCTTCAAGTAGTTCACGTTGTCGTGCTCCAGGATCTTGGCCTGGGTGGAGAGCAGGGTTAGGATGGGGGATGGACAGAGGGATGGATGGATATGCATCCTTGCAACTGTGTGGGGACATAGGGCATTGGGTGCTCATGGAGTGTCCATGGGTCATGTCCCACCACCACCAGAGATATGCGTGGCTTTGACCCACTTACCATGAGCTTCTTCTGCTTGGAGAGGTAGGGCTCTAATAGCTGTGGCTCCTCTTCGTGGTCCAGCTTCATCAGCTCCGTGCTGGCATTAGCTAAATGTCCTGGGGGAAGACAAGAGAAAGGGGCTGGAGGGGCTGTGCTTGGCAGGACTGGGGATGACCTTGTGTCTGGTAGCAAAGCACCTCATCCTGCATGCGAAATAATGTTGTGGCACCAAGAAAAACACCCCAGAGAGCTAAAATGGGCCAATGACTTCCTGCTGCCATGCTGCCATACGGGTGGGTGGCAGGGGCATCACACCCCCTCCTGAGGGCATGTGGCTTCTTTGACCCTCCCATATACTCTGGGATACGGCAGATCCCCCTCCCTGGCCATGGTGAGTCCCAGCTCTGCGGGTTTCAGGGAGGGTTTCAGTTCTTCATTTCCTCTACTGGATTAATGTTACAGCTGCCAGCAGATGTCTGGCTGTCTCTGACTGTTTTAAGGACATCCCTGAGCTTCTCTATAACCTGGTTCCTGCAGCTCCATCCCCAGCAGGTCGATCCTTTGGGATGTCCAATGTGTGGGTGGGCATGCAGAGCAGAGTGGCACGGGAGGGGATGCTCCCTCCTGAATGGAGGTGTTCCCCCCGGCACAGAGCCCATCGCGAGCAGGGAAGAGATGCCCACCTTCCTCCCTCCCAGGGCACGGGGAGGATGCAAAGGGCTTTATGCAAGGGAGCTTACGGAGGGAAAGGAGCAGAGTAAATGGAAGAAGAGAATACAAGATGCAGAGTAACACTTTAGGGACATCATAAATTACCCGAAGCTGGGCTAATCTCTTCCTGCCAGGGGCCATCTGTCTCTCCCTCCTTGTTCCCTCCAACAAGGGCTTGGCTCTGCCAATGCGTGGGTGCAGGAGGTGCCAGGGCTGGCCAGGGCAGCAGCCAGCAGCAGGCTGTATGCTGCCACAAAATGGTGAAACTCCCTATTTTCCACTGTGAGCCTTGAAGCTTGCACTCGCTAAGGATCCCAGCTGGCTCTCCTGGGGCTGTAACTCAGAGGGAAGCCTGGATATCACCGTCCTGTTCTCCTGTTCCCCTTGGGAGAGCCTGGCCCTCGGTTCATCCTCTCCTTGGGGCACCACTACATGGATTTGCCTCGCTCCCACTGCAATGGGGCAGCCGAGCCATCTCCTGGTGTGAGGGATGAGCTGGGGAGGAAGGGCACCACCAGCGCTGGGGCATCCCACGGACCTGCCCACAGCCCCTCTGTTGCAATGGCTTGAGAAAAATGCCACCAGCAAGGAGATTTGGATGGGGAGACATTTGTAAGGACCTTGGCAGAGTGCTGGGGAGGTGATGTGAGGCAGATGAGGTCTGAAACCATCACAGCAGCACCCTTTGGGGAGGGGACAGGCTCTGCACCCTGCATCTGCCCAAGGTCTGGGGGTGGAGGTGATGCCTGAGGGCACAGGGAAAGCTGCCTGTGCCAGGGGCCAGCAGAGGCGAGGCAGACCATGAAATACCCCTCAGGAACAGCTCTTTGTGTGTGAGTGCATCCCATTTCAGAGGGACCATGCGTGACCCAGACAGCTGAAGGGACAGGGTGGAACAGTGTTTGCTACAAGCATCATTTGGGTCCAGAGCCTAAAGGAGGAGGACAGACGTGGGGCACTCCAGTGCTGTCCTAACAAGGTCACTTTTCTGGCAGGAGTCTCTCCAGGAGCAATCCTTGCCGTTGAGTTATATTAAGCATCGTCAATGTTTCATGAGCGCTTGAAGGTCAGGTACAAAGTCTTACGCCGATTCATCCACGGCCTGCAGCTCAGTCTGGCTGTACTCTTCCACCATTGCCCTTAGAGCTACTGGAGGGAGAGGGGACGTGTGGCAGAGGGAGCAAATTCAAGTGCCCTAGAAAGAGCTGGGCGAGAAGTGTGCATGGGAACCGTCACACCCCTGGGGTTAGGAAGCCTCTACAGGGTGCCTGCAGCTCCCAAATTAGCTGTGCTTTACCATTTCCCAGCTCTGTCCCTGCCTGCATTGGTGGAAAGGGGAGACGAGCAAGAGCAGGGTGGCTGGTCAAGCTGTGGAGTCAAACCAAGCCTAAAGAAAGGGCTGGGGGAGCCATCCCACTGGCACCAGCCCTGAGCAGCCCCACTGGAGAGGCAACTTACTGCGGATCTCAGCGGTCGCGTACTTTGGGATCATGGAGTCAGTGGTGAGCTCGGGGTGCAGGATGCAGCCGTGCGTGTAGGCGTCCATGGGGAGCGAGTCCAGCAGCTCCCGGTACTGCAGCACCCGGGAGTGAAGCAGGCTGCCCGGCTCGGGGATCAGCTGGGTGACGTTTTCTGCAAGGGCAAAGGGAAGGGTGTCAGGGGGGATGCTCGTTAGTGGCTCGTCAGCCTGTGCGGGACTCCGGTGTGCGGTCCTGGCTTGAGCTACCCCTGAGCAGGGCTGGCTGTGGCCATGCATTAACTCAAAGCCGCACCCCACGCTTGGCTCTGCCCTGTCCCCGCTGCCCGGCCGGCCAGCAGCGCATCCGGCCCATGCTGAGACAGGCAAACTCACAGGACCACAGGGACGTGTATGTGTGCCCTTACCCAGCCCCGCAGCCCCCAGAGCTCAGCAGAGCGAGCCCTTCACCTCCACAGCCCCTGAGTTTGTACGCTGCGGCTTCACATGCGTCAGAAGGGGAACAAAATCATCCCATTCTGCAGAAAAGAGCTAAAACACGAGGGTTTGGGATCTCCTGAATTACGCACTTGTTACACCAGTGGCAACGAGGCACCTAATTGTCTTGGACTTCCTCGGAAATCCCATTCAAAATGGGTAATCGGGGAGCTGATGACCAAAGCAGGAGCCCAGCCCATCTTCCCTCCGCACCCAGCCAGTGCCGCGGCGGCGGAGGCAGCCCTCACCCCGGCCGGCTCCGCTCCTCCTCACCTCGTTGGGTTTTATTCATCTGTTGAGGACGGCAGTTTGCATCCTGCTCTTTTTATTACACTTTCAGTTCAAAATACATGGCAGGTGACACCACAACGAGCGAAATGTTGCTCTTGTCTCCCCCAAGAATATCAGGTCTATTTTTTTATGGGGTCATAAATGTTTACGGTGTTTGCAGATAGCAGTAAATAGGTAGTGAGTAAATCTATCACCAGGACCCCGTACACCCGGTTGCCCACACACCATCCGCAGTGCAGGGCTCGCTGCACGCTGGCGTCTTGGGCTGAATTAAGGGGCATTGGCAGAAGAACTTTGGCAGATGTGGCCAACGCAGCTTCTTAATTAAGAGCCTGAAATGACAGTTCTGCCTGTCTTCCCCTGCCAGCGGCGGGACGAAGGCTGAGGGTGCAGCCTGATGATGCCCGCCCGGCAGAGACGCTCAGCTCGCCCTGCCCTGGGCCAGGCAGTGTTGTGCCGGCCAGCGCCTGGAGCTGGACAGAAGCCAGGGAAATTTTGGCAGCTCCTGTATCGCAAACCTCCTAGCAGCTCTGGTTCGGGGCTGTCTCTGCTGGTAGGCTCCGCAGAGTTGTTCTGACCGATGGGCATCAGCATTACTGTCCCCTGAGCGAGGGGAGGTTTTGGTAGCTCCTCCCTGCCCACAGGCTGCTCACTGCTTGCGCTGCCCGGACTCCAGCTCTCCAAGTAGGGATTTTCCATCTGAGAAAAGTAACCGGCTGAATGAAATGATAATAACTGACCTATAGCCTGTGTGCTGCTTCCACAGGGCTCCTGGCCAGCACCGGCGGGCTGGTGCCGAGGCTGGAAACCAGCATATCCAGAGCGACTGCCCCATCCAGCAGCGGGACGGGGCGACCACAATGGAGTAGTGGCGTGCTGGCCGCCGGCCCGTGTCCTTCAGCAGGTCCCAGGGTGTTTTTTTGGTAGGATGAAGCGTGCTCTGCCTTTGCACACCATGGCGGACCTGCACGTGTGGGCTACTGTTGCACAGACCAAGGGATGGGCCGTGCAAAGGCGGGATGGGGGAGGCTCAGAAACACCAGGCTGGGGGCTGCAGCCCTTGGAGGAGCCCCTTGCCCAGGCTCTGAGAAGTGTTGCCACCAGCCAGCCCATCAGTGGTTTCTTGGCACTGCCGGGCTGTGCCCTAGTGAGAAACACCCTCAAAGGTGGCTTATTGGCACTATTCACTGCTTTTTTTGGGGAAAGAAAACCATTGCTCATCACACCACCCTCTGCTGATAGCTGACCATCAGGGTGCGTGTAAGCAGCTCAAGAAAGCCACGCTCCCAGCCCAGGGGAAAATAAAACTCAGTGAATGCACCTTCTCATCAAGGCATTTTCAGGCTCAGCACATTTCTGCCAGGCGGGTGATTCCCCCTCAGGCCAGCACTGCAGCATCCTAGGAACGCTTTTGCCAGCTAGCGCTGGTGGTGGTGGCACCGCGGGGAGCCGTGCTCTGGGCCCTCCACCCCACGGCTTCTCTCTCCATATCTCAGCAAAAAAGCAAGAAGTTGCACCTGGCTGGAAAATACCAATGGCAGGAGTTTCCCAGCGCACAGGCAGCGCCGTGTCCCCCTCCTGCTGGGGACAGCCTGCTGTCACATGTGCCCGGCCACCTGCCCTTCGCTGAGACCGGACAAAGCGGTGCGGGGACCGCAGCCCCATGGACCAACGATCCCCCCCATCCCTCAGGGCAGGAAAGTGGCTGCCATTCCTTGGGAGCCGCTGCCGGCATGGACTCCTCCGGACTGATCCCGTCCCTGCTGCCCCGCCGGCGAGCGAGCATGGTGCCGCTGCCGCACAGCACCGCCGCGGTGGGGCCGGGAGAGGACAGCAGCTGAGCTGGCAAGATGCCCTTGCTTCGGGAGCTATTTTGAGATGTTTTTGATGTCTCTGTTGCAAGGGGGATGGATGCTGAGGCAAACGTTGTGATGGCACAGCCTGAGCTCCCTGCTCAGCTTTTGAAGCCTCCCCGGCGGAGCGTCCCAGCCTGACAGCCCGCAGGTTTGGGGAAATGAGGGCGATGGGATGTGAGATGCTGGGGAGAGGCTGCGTGCCACAGTGGCCATACAAACTGCTGCCTCTGAGCATCGGCTTGGCATCCTGGTATGCCGGGCTTGGCTGGCCGCTGACTGCAGCCCCGCTCCGGGGGGAATGCAAGCTTCCCTCTCCCAGCTGTCCCTTCCTCCGGGTTTGTGTCACATCATCCTCCCATGGTCCCCAGCACCACTGGCTGACTTTGAGTTTAAAGAGGCAGTTTTCTCTGAGGCACAGTGGCAGGGGGGCGGCAGCGTCCCCTGCCCATGGCCGGTGGCACAGGGCTCATCGAGGAAGGGGAGAGGGGCAGCAGCACCCGGCTCAACCCCACCTTCTCTCAGCAGGGACGGTTACGGGGAGTTACTGGGGGGTTTATACCATTAGCAGAGGCCAAAGCACAGAGGTGGCCAAACCCAGTATTTCCACAGGCTGTGCCCCAGCTGTGGCTCTGGTGAGATGCCACCACGCACCATGGGGATGGGGGGACATGGTCTTGTTTGGGAGCGTGGCTTCCATGGCAGAAAAAGAGGTGATGACGCCACCAGAGCCCCCCAGCAGCACTTCCAAGGGACATTTGGGGATTTCTGCTGGAAATCCTTCATGTTCATGGGAAAATGGAGAAGTTTGGAGAGGGCTGGTGGCTTGCTGCTCTTCTGGGGTAAAGCTGAAACTTTAAAGGACAAAGTGGGTGCATTTGGCAGGCAGCATCTGGATTAGACCCAAGTTTCCCCCGAGACACAGCCCACCCCTCCTTTACCTCCCGTGAAGTTCTTCTCCATGTAGTCGATGATCTGGTTGTAATCACTGATGATGTTGTCCCTGTGGATGATGACGGGCACCTCCTCCCCCAGGTTGAGCCGCATGAACCAGGGCTCCTTGTGCTCCATCAGGGGCAAGCTGACGTCCCGCTCCTCGCAGGGCAGCCCCTTCTCCGCGATGACCAGCCGCACCTGGGGCAAGACGCAGGGGAGAAAGGGCTCAGCCCCCAGCAGCAAGCCGTCCCTGAGAGCCCTCGAAGCACCCCAGGAGCCCCACCACCACCCCATCACACCTCCCCGGCCCTCCCCTACCACTTAAGCACAGCTATGTGCCGGGACACACCACACACTGCAAGAAGCCAAGGAGCTCTTGGCATGGGGCAGCTGTAAAATCCAGGCAGCCAAGCGAGGATTTCCCTTCCCAAGAAATGGGGGAGACCCAAACCCATCCTAACTTTGTGGGATCACGGCCCGTCCTCCCTCTGGTTGCTGGTGGCCCATGACCGAGGGGCTGGGGGGTAGCGGCTGGAGGGAGGTGGCAGGTCCTCAGGCTGGGGAGAATCAGTAATGCTGCCGTGGGTCCCAGCATGACGGGAGGAAGAGGAGGAAGCAGAGGCTACAGCAATGCTACACTTTGCACCCAGTGGGTGCTGCTGCCTGGCTGAAGGAGGCCTGGGTGCTAACTTGGGTATTCGCTGCTCTTGGGGATGGGCTCTGTCTTTACCAGGCCAGAGCAGGGAGAAGGCTCCATTCCGTGGGGGTTTTTAAGCAGCCCCAGCAGCCTGCACGGCATCCCTCCTCCTCCACACTGCTGCCGGTCCCGCGGTGCAGAGGGGCAGGGGGAAGCAGGAGTGGGGCTGGGTGTGGGGCACCATCCCCATCTCCATCGCCCACGGACAGCCCTCAGGGCTGATCCTGCTGCTTTGCTCTGTGCATGAGATGGTGTTAAATATGCACTCAAGAATGGCATTTTAGGCTTCTGGGTTTTAAAAACCTGACTGGTATGAACTAAGTATGTCAAACAGGCAAAAAAAACCAGCCTCGGGGGATGTGAGACAGCCACGATTTACAGAACCACCGAATGAGGGAAAAGGGCTTCTTTTCCTCCAACTAACAGCAGCTAAAAATACAACTTAACAAATATAAGCATTTCTATGAGTACTTCAGTGTTCCTGGGGAATTAGTCATTAAGTATTTACGGGTATGGCAAATTAATTTTTTCTTTTAATTTCAAACAAGGAAAGGCCTGAGTCCCTCAGCTGCAACTTGCTCTTGGCCTTTTCCTCCCAGCTGATGGATAAATCTCAGCCAGGACCACCTGGGGCATCCGGCCCTAAGCTCCCCTGCTTGCCCATTTTGCTATCAAGAGCCGAGGCCGAAGGCCTAGCAGGAGGCAGCGCGGGCAGGAGGGCTCAGCTCCTGGGGTAACCCCAGTGCCTGCGGGCAGGGGGAGCCCCTGCCAGCGCCCTGAGGAGGGGGCCCAGCCTGGGGCGATGAAGCATGCCCGGACCCCCCCAGCCGGTCCCTGCAGCACCAGCACGGCTGTGATGGGGCATCTGGTGTAAAAACCCAAAGCTGGCTGTAAAACTCCAAAACCCCTTTGCAGGCAGGGCCAGATCCTGGTGGGGGCTCAGGATCCCTCCCACAAGCAGCCCCAGCAGCGGGGCGGGTGGTTCCGAGCAGCTCCCGGGGCAGCGCAGGAAAAGCTTCGCCTGCAGCAGGCTCCGAGCAGAACTCCTCTGCAGGGGGTTCCCAGGCAGCCCCCGCCGCTCCCCACCCTGCGATGTCCATCACACCAGCTTGTGCTCGTCCACCTTCCAGCAAACGCTCCTTCCGTGCAGGTGACCCCAAAAGCAAAGCTCGAAGCGGTGCCAGCTGGCCCTGTGGCTCTAGGTGTGCCCTGCCCTGTCCCCAGCGTCCCCAGCCCCGCAGAGGTGAGGCCGGTTGTGGGAAACCCCGTACAAGAATTGCCTTAACCACTGCCTCCCTGCTGCCGGCGGCCAAACAAGCAAGACAAAAAAATAACAGCAAGCCCGGTGCAAGGTGGGGGAGCCGGGCACAAGCATCCCTTGCCGGTGCAGATCACAAGCCCATCAGTCACCCGCTGCTGGTGGCGGCAAAGCCGACCATGTGCGGCCACCCTGCTGCATTGGGCATCCTCCCTTCTTTGTGCCTGCAAGTAGGAACGCACATCTCTGCCCTCGGCCTCCCCGCCGGGCTGCGGGGCTCGAGGGGGGCCTTGCACCAGGGGAACTTTGTGTTCCCCCCACCCCTCCAAATAGCCCATTCCCCCCGCAATAAATATGGTGTGGAATGATGGGCACTTGGGGCCAGGAGGAGAAGGCTGGGTTTGCTACACAGCTGCCGTGCTGCAAAATGAGCATTTACTATTGCCTGGAAAATGTGATTTTTTTGCTGGGGCACCCTGGGAGTAAGATTTCCAGGGCACTGCTGCAATGTCAGGGGCAAATCACTGCCTGGCAGGGGGCTGCGTGCCAGGGTCCACTCCCTGGCAGGAGCCCGGCTCGGGGGCTGCCTCCCCTCTCCCGGCAGCAGGGTGGTCCCAGGGCCTGGCTCAGCCTTTGTCTGGGCTCCTGGCCACTCCGGGGTCGGGCTGTGAGCGAGCACAAAGCTGAGGCGGCTCCCGGTACAAGCTGTGATCCCAAAGCAAAAGCAGGATTTGGCTGAGCCCCCCCCATCCCCATCCCCTCCCCAGGCAGATGCTGTTAAAACGCCGAACAGCAGGCACAAAAGAGTTTTTTTTTTTTTTTTTTTTTTTTTTACCTTTTGTGAGCTGAAGGACTGGGTCCAGTGGTACAAAACCAGTCTGTCCTGGGATTTGAGAGCGGGGTCTGTCGGGTCCTGGTTTTCTTCCCCCTCCGTGGATTTCCCTGCGTCGTTCTCCAGCGCCGAGATGGGCCACCAGCTGCAGTTGGTGGGAGTAACATTATTGGGAGTCGCCATGACAGCCTGCGAGCGCGCGGGGAGCGGGACGAGGGAGCGAGCGGCGCCAGCCCAGCATCACATGGGCTCCTGCCAGCAGCATCACTCCCAGGGCAGCTCCATCGCCCCGGCTGGGGTGGGCAGCGCAGGGTGGTGGGCGCCGGGGGGCACAGCAGAAGATGGTGGCGG